GGATTTTTATTTTTTATTTTTATAGTTCGAGGCCCATTTGTGTCTTCATGTCTTCATGTGTGTAATAAACAGAGTGAACAGTCAAGACGGCTTTGTGTAATTTACAGCTTTTTGGCATTAAGCCCATTGAGCAGTAAAACACCTGAGCCAACAGTGACAGGTGTGGAGGAGAAAAACTATAGAGGAAGAAAAAAAAACAGCTTCAACTGTCTGCTGGGTTCAATATTTACAAAATTTCACCAAGAAAACAATATTCATCTGCTGAGACCGACTTCAGGTTGGTAATCTTTTTATGTTGAAGGAATGTTTTCTTAGTTTTGTTCATCAGTAACAGCAGTGCTGGAGACACCAAGGACGGCACTTTATGACTAATATGAGAAATAAAAAAGGCTGATATCTTTAAGATTCTTGAGGAAAATATATGGCAGTCCATCAGTCTGAGGTCAGACTGTACTTTCTATATTATCTCAGAGCAGTGAAGGGTCTTTTTAGCATAAGGAGTTCATACTGAAAGGCAGAAACTGTACAGCATATTCTAAATCCTAATGACATGACTGAGGTACAATGGCATGTTATCTGGGTGAAATGAATGTCTCCGTAACACTATACAGTTTCTAAAAGCCTGTGAGTTGATTGACATGAAACTTTAAGAGTCTTTTCAAAAGTAAATTCATTTACTGCTGCAGTTCCTAAGCAGGGTTATGTATTGGTAAGGACAGCACAGTATTACAGTTTTGCACTTCTGATAATTTGCATGAAGAGCAGATCATTTAATATCTATTTTACTACACATTAAAGCTCCTGTGCTGAACTCTTTGTCTATGTTGAGTCTGGCGCCCCCTGTGGCAAAGCAGTAGCCCTCATGTCATTACTGATGTTGTCTTGTCCTCGTAAAAATTATGTTAATTGGCAAAGAATCTCCTTCTGCAATCTTTTAGACGTAAAATGTAAAACTCAAGGCTATTTCTTCACCAGCCCTACTCCCCTGCAGCCAATTCAAGCACATTATAAACATTAGGGCTGGGCGATAATCCTAAAATTTACAGATACCGAAATTTACGACAATAAACAACGTCATTTTTCCCATGTCAATATATTCAGTGTCAAATAAATAAATAAAAAAATGTTGGTTTTGGATGTGTGTAGGTAGGCTATGGTCTCATGTCCCTTTAAGACACTGTCCTACATCAGAGACATGACTCCACCCCATCCAGTTCATAACAAAGAGGGAAAGACAGGTGAGGAGATGGAGGATGGTTCAAAAGTTGTAGCGGCTGAAGTTGACAAAGTTAATGTGGGAGGGGGTGAGCAGCAGAGCGTGGAGTAGTTATCATTATTTAGGTGAACTGCTTAATATGTCGTGATATTAATTTGAGGCCATATCGCCCAGCCCTACATTATCAATCTTTTTACTTAAGGTTTAATTTACTATTTTACATCAATGAGACATTCGTGTTTTTCATGATCAGCATACTCCTCACAGGAGCTTTAGCACTGCATTAACTGACAAATTAATAGTCACCTACTGTCACTCAGAGTATAATTCATATACATAGTTCATGTATTAATGATGTGATTAAAATAAATAAATATAAATGCATATAAACTTGATCGTTTTGTCAAGTTTTGCCAAAATATTGACATTTATCATTTTTGCCATATCGCCCACCCCTAGAACGGTGTTTGTTTGCAGCCACAGAGCAAGGGTATCCATGTTCAGGGGAAGAGCTTTTAGAAACAGGATAATGTACTCTCCAACTTCCTGTTAAAAATCTTTCTCCCACTTTTTCATTCCCTGTAAAATTAATATGTCGAAGTAGTTCTTGCAATCCCAAAAGCTGTTTGCTTTCTAAAAGAAAAAACATAAAAATAAGTCATCCCTTCAGGAACTACGACACATCTTTGGTAAAATAAATAAAATCAGAGGGATGACTCATGTGAATTTAAAGCCCCAACTCAGAGCAAAAGTCAGCAAAGGACTAAATATGTATGAAGTGAAGATACAGAAGAATAAAGAAAATGTTGTGTGGTTCGAAAATAACAAACAGGACTGATGATAACAGCTCATTGTTCCCAAAGAGAGAAATTCCTTTATCACCAAAGCGGCCCAGTTTGTAGAGCAGAGGGAGCAAAGAACTGCGGAGACGCTGCTCACACTTACACACTCACACTAACACACACACTGATCAGAACACACCAGAGACGCACACAGACACAGAGTAAATACTCGTCGCTGCCTGGAAGCCAAAGTAAAAGGATGGATCAGGATCAAAAGCCTTCTGCAGGAGAACGAGGATGTGCCCATGTTTCATGTTTTCAGACAGGAGGGTGTTTCATTTCAGACGGATTCACTGCAGTAAGCTGGAGGTTACAGCGAAAGCCTCCAGAGTAATGTGTTCCAGCTCTGCTACAGTGCCGTCATGATGGGATCTACTGCGTTCATTCTTGAGGGCTTAACTGCAAACTGGCGATTGATTACCAATAAGCTCCAGGACAAAAACATTTAATGGTCTGCAAGATTGATCATCAATTAGTCATTTAGCTACATATATTTTGCTCAAATGTCAATATTGAGCCGATATATATTATCCCAAATGTAATGATTGTTTTTCTCTTTTCATTTAAGCCATTTTAATGTAACATCTTTGGCTTTTTAATTCTCTGTATTATCTTGGGTTTTGATTATTTTGATTGCTGTAAACTGAAAGCCATTAATCTTTGTCAACCTTTGACCCCAGTAAGACCGTAAAATCTTCCAAAAAGGTAAATTTGTGGGCTTGAAAACTTGTTATTCAACTCAATAACAAATTCAATGTACAAATTAGCAAAATTTCTACGCAGGGACATCATCTTACTGCTGATTGTCCCCTTGGCGTCCCACAGGGAACAATACTTGGACCTATTTTATTTCGTTCATAGAGCGACACCAACAAGCTACTTCAGGCAGCGTTCAACATGTGCCAATCAAACAAAATTTCTGGTCTCTGTCTCAGCTGCTCTGCACCTGTGCTGCACTTAAGCTTTAAGCCCCATCACCTCACAGCATCTGCCTACAGAGTCCAGCTAAGAGACTCAAGATATTATCTCACCACTTCTGAATTTCTGCTACTAAAGGAAGGTTGCAAACAATAAAGCTTTTCAGTTTTAACCCATGCATAATCTGATCTTAATTTATCAATAACCATTTTCAGAAGTGTGTGGACCATCTTTGTATACTGTTATCCTCGTGCAAACTCACGCCAAAACAAAAAATCTGCAATATCCAGCAAAGGCGAGCAGGTTGGCAAATGACCGATTGATAAAGCCAGTATTGTGGACTTGTTATTTTTCCTACATTCAAATAAATACAAAAAGGAAAAAAATCCAACAAGAACATGAATGATGAACTAGGGCTGGGCGATAAACCAAAAGTTTAAAGATACTGAAATTTACGACAATAACCAACGTCATTTTAACAGTATTGGTATATTAGGTGTCAAAAAATGTAAATGAATGAAAGTTGGTTTTGGATGTGTGTAGGTAGGCTATGGTCTCATGTCCCTTTAAGACACTGTCCTTCGTCAGAGACGTGACTCCTCCCCATCCAGTCTGTAACAAAGAGGGAAAGACAGGTGAGGAGATGGAGGACGGTTCATAAGTCGTAGCGGCTGAAGTAGACAAAGTTAATGTGGGAGGGGGTGAGCAGCTTGTGGAGTAGTTATCGTCCATTTATCGTTATCGTGGTGAACTGTTCAATATATCTTCATATTGATTTGAGGCCAGATCACCCAGCCCTAGCGAGCAGGTTTGTGGTCTTGTTTTTTTTCCTACATTCAACTTAATACAAAAATGTAATAATACCAACAAATAAGAACAAAAATGATGAACCTAGGTAATACTCCTTCAACTAAATTTAAGGGAAAAATACTTTTGGATTTTTGTCCTGCCATCTTTAATAATTGAATAGAAAAATAAATAAATATGGAAGTTAAAAAAATACGTCCATTAAGCAGAGCGATCTGTCTCTGCAGTTAAAAGCACTCTTACAGCAAGAAAAAGGAAAAACAAGCAACTCATGAAACTGCAAGAATTCTCAAAAAAATGTGAGAAACGTGGTTAGTGCTTAAGTGAACATGAGAGAGACAACAGAGGAAAAACACACACAGAATTTTAAAGGGTTTTTACGAGCTGGTCTTGAGCAGGTGGTTCAAACTTTCAACTTGTGATTCATTATTTCTATAAAACGCCCACTTCAAGCAGCAGCGTCTTCAGTGTGTGAAAGGCCCCTCAAACATTTATACCAGGAGAAGAGCCTGAGAAAGACATACCACTCTCCATCTTTGTGCTGTTTCAAAAGATCGAGTGTGTTTTGACGGTGGAACTGTGCTGCTGATGTGCATGCATCCACCAACACTGAAAGACACAAATGTTGCTCCTTTGGGACATTTTCACAGTAAATCCACTTACAGTCCTGTTTTTTTTTTCAGAGTGGGCTTCTGGCTCAATTTTTTCTCTGAGTGAGAGCTAAATTTGAAATCTTTTTGTCAGTGTGTCCTTCAGTTCAGAGGGAAATCAACATGACAGCCAGGTAACACGTGCACAATACATAATGCGCCTTATTTTTCACCTATGATGGGACTCATAATGAATTCTTCCCACATGCACCTGTGGCCTCTTTGTCAGCTGTCACGGCCATAGAAAGAGGGATTACATGTAATGTCATCTTGCTATCTGCTGTCTGAGGGTCCAGCTGCATTCAGAATGGAAATGTTCAAAGTTATGCATTTGAGACGCTTGTTTTAAGAAGCATCCTCTGTAGGTTGGAGATACGGAGCTTCAAAACGGAGAAGAAAAATGTGTTTATAGACTGAGCCGCCTTCTGATGTCTCCTGAAACGCCGCACACACACACACACACACACACAAATCATCCACCTTCTTCACTAACTGCCTGCCTGTGATGAAAATCCAGCACCTTCTTCCCACTGTCACACAGCGAACAGATTTAGGCAAACTGTCACTTCACAGCTTGTAATTTTCACCGAGCCCGTTGGGCGTCACCTCGCTTCTGAAATTAAAAAGCAACAACAGGCGGTTCTTGGTGAGCGCTGTGAGGTCCCCCTGTGACAGCAAGCTGTCTGAGAGGAAGAGGGCACCGAACATCTCAACAGAGGCCTCTTCCCCTTCCTCACTTCTTTGTGTTTCTGGTAAATGATGGAGAGGTGTGATCTCTGTGGGCGAGTTCACCTGCGGGCCGTCGTGCTTGAAAAGCTGAATCACTGCTGCTCCGACACCTGATTTATCAGGTTCCTCATAACACTTACGACATGTACCCAACATCTGCTCACATGTGAGGAAGTTTTTTTTAATTCAGTGACAACATTACCAAACTTTGATTAAGTTTTTCTATCATCTCTCAAAACGAAACTACTGAAAACGATGTAGTGCATATGCCAAGCCAGTAAGTGGCGCTGTAACGCTGCTGAGGAAATGCTCAAAAGACAGAGGAAGAGTACAGAGCATGCTTGTAAAGGTTGTTAAGGCCAGACACATGCAGGCGCCATACCAAGAGTTACACTGTGTGTCACATTATTATCTCCAGAGATGAAATGGTAATCGTTTATGGATTTATGTACTCTCTGACCCATTTTCTAAAAGTAGTGTTTACAGTAGGGCCCGGCGAATTTATCGGGAAGACGATTAAATCAGCCAATTTTAGGTCGTTTGGGACTAATCTGTCATCGGCCAAAACTCGCTGATTTTCGCAGATATTTTCAGAAATAAAATGCAGAAAATGAGATTCGGTTCCACTTGGAAAATGTTCCGCCATCTGAAAAGTTCCCCGATTTATCCTGTAGATGGCGCAGCGAACTCATGACAATCTTCATCCACTAACTACCTCACAGCACAGCAGAGTGACGGATCTGAAGCAGGCAGCTCAGGGACGCACAGAGGAGAGTGGTCCGCCTCAACGGTAAATAAACCAGTTTGTGAAAAACACAATAAGTCAACAAGTTTCAGTTTAACCCACTTCACCATGTTCCCCGCTGTGCTGGTCTCGGTCACGCCGAGTTAACAGTGAAGCACCATGTAATTTGCAAGCTAAAGTTAGAGTTAGCCATCTGCTATTAGCCTTGCAACACGGTTAGTAGAATAAACAACAGTACACATTAGTGATCGAGCTACTTCTCTTACTGAGGCAGCTGCATGTCTCCAGATGAGACCGGACCGGAAATGAGTAACGGGAGTTAAGACGTGGAGGCACCGATTGGCGTCAGGGGGATATCTGTAGATATCTACAGTATATATTCATTTTTTATAACTTCCTAAAAAAATTAAAAATAGGACGATTAATTGGATTTTTTCCCCCCCAACAATCGGTATCGGCATCAGACCCAAAAAATCCATATTGTTCGGGCCCTAGTTTACAGTCACCCGAAATGCTGTTTCCATGTAGATTAAACACCGATACGACAAAAATGTTTTGCGTTTACCCCTGATTACGTTTCCGTGTGGACGGGTTGATACCACCTTCAGACAGACTTCGCAGCGGCGAGTGGTTTGCTCTTTGTTCGAAACTGTGAAGTCGTACCAATTCCACACGACTGACTTGCTCTTGTCCCATTTAGCCACGAAATTATCGCCATCTTTAGCAAACGCCATGTTTGTTTACACTGGTGCGTGTGTGGGAACTGGGGAGCGTTCTTGCAGGAGGGGGGAGCCTACGGTGGCCTGGAGGCACGAGACATGATAGAGAGGAAAATCAATTTGAGGATTTTAATTTTTTAACATCGTCACAATCAAATAATCTGATTATGATTTAAAATCGATTAATCTGAAGGTTGGCCATTTTGGTCACCAGGTCTGTGAACCCCAGACTGCTACCGGGATCTGTGCTAGGCTGTTCCCAATCAATCTTATCCCTCGACAGAAACCAAATAAAGATGCACTCATTCTGGTAGAGCACCTACCTAAGAGGATAGCTTCGGGGGACATTTAGCTGCAGTATGAATCCCGTGTTTGTTTCCATCTCTTCTTGTTAGATCAACCGAAGGAAAAAAGAGAGAGAGGAAGCCAATGAAAAATGAAACCAGCAGCTGTGATGATGAAATGTGCAGTGTCAGATATATATAATACATAAACACCTCTCTTCAAAGATATTCTGCTTCTCCTCTCTGTGATGAGAGTCGTTTCTTTATCGATTTATTGCTGATCCCGGCCGACTTTACAGAGCGTGAACTTAAAATCTTACAGAAATTCATTATCGAGCTCACTGAGTCGGACTCCTTTCAGGATAATACCAAAGTGACAGTTGTTACTGGGATCTTACTTCGTACATCTCACTGGGTCTTCAAATACCAGTTTATTTGATGTAACACAGGAAGGTACCTGGGTAACATGCTGGAGAAAAGTGTGATAAAAAGCAGCCGGTTTGCTGTTAAATTGACTTGCTCTGGATTAGAGGGATGGGATTTCTATCGCAGCGTATACCTGTACAAATCATACAAATCTTCCCTGACATAACTCCAGTTTTAAATGAAAGCTTTGGGGAACGGGAGGGTCCATCTTATCTTGACAGTCAAAGGCAGGGAGGGGATTGGGGAGGGTTGCTGCAGATCCAAATGTATTTTCTACCTCTTTTCACCTCTTTCAGTGGAGTCAAATGGTCCTGCTTGCTTTAAATTTAAGGGTCTCCATCTGACACAGTCAAAGTTATAACTAGAAAAGGGAGTGGGAAGTTTGTACAATATGTTTTAAGTTCCTGTAAAGTGATCAAATAGATCATGTGGCATCAGACACTTGACAATATCGACTCCATAGAGTTTCTATGGAGTCTTATTAACTTCACTGCTCTGCTGAGACAGGAACACTCACTTCTGATTGGGCCTTAAAAGGTCAGCTGATTAAAGATGCAACTAGGGCTGCGCGATGAACCAAAGATTTACAGATACCAAAATTTACGACAATAACTAATGTCCTTTTGCCCATGTCAATATTTCAGTGTCAATAAATAAATAAATAAAAGTTGATTTTGAATGTGTGTAGGTAGGCTATGGTCTCATGTCCCTTTAAGACGCTGTCCTACATCAGAGACGTGACTCCACCCCATCCAGTCCGTAACAAAGAGGGAAAGACAGGTGAGGAGACGGAGGACGGTTCAAAAGTTGTAGCGGCTGAAGTAGACGAAGTTAATGTGGGAGGGGGTGAGCAACTTGTGGAGTAGTTATCGTCTATTTATTGTTATTGAGATGAACCGCTCAATATATCTTCATATTAATTTGAGGCCATATCGTCCAGCCCTATATACAGCCTCTGGTTGGTCGATGGACCAGAACAGTTTGCAGCCCTCACTAAGCATGGTAATCCAGCAACAGAACTCACTCTGTAGATTAGATTAGCTCCACTTTGGATTAACTGGATCCTGACGGTCTGAATACACACCAATCTCCTCTGTGGATCAGAAAAGTTCATCACCAGAAAACTGCCGGTCTCACAAAATGAATGGATTTTACTGTTAGTCACACCTTTTCATTGTGAGAAACACAATGATATTAAAGCATAATTTATGCATTTTTGTGTGTGAGAAATTACCGCACATTGTGTGTTGCTATCAGTGACTGAATAACTCAAGCTGTGAAAAACTCAAGTTATCTGCCTAACGCTGAAAAAAACGACCACATTGTGACAGAACTGGGTGAAAACATCAGCTGCGAACTGACAATTACCATCTTTCTTTTCTTCCACCCGCTAGCCGCAAAACGCCGCCAACACTTGAGCCTAACACGCAGCGGCACAGTCTGCTACCAGTTCCTTACAGTTAAGTGTGGAAGCGGTGCATGTGCCGTCAGCTCACACCTCTCAAGTTTGATGGATAAAGCACAAAAAAACACATCTGTTGACTGGCATTCGATGGTAAACAGTGAGAATATTTAGAGAAAGAGCTGCTGCGTACAGAGCAGATGTATTTGTAGCAGCTGTACAGTTACAGTAGAGAAGATGATGCTGTATAGAAACTTTCACATATGCCAATGCTAACAAAATAGGGGTATCATGCTCTTCAGCTGTGATGGAAGCTGGCACTCAGGTGCATTAGAATACATTAGAGATAATGAATTCCCCTCTCCTGGTTTTCCCCGTCGAGTAGACACCGCAGAGTGAGAAGGTTCGCGCTTCTCTGCGTTCGTATTTTTCCCTTTTCATGTGGGAGAGCGACACCGTCACGCCCGTGCCTCTCTGACAAATGAAAAATATAAGCTCGATGACTACTTTTTTATTTGTTTCGCACACTTCCTCCTGTGATTTGTTCGTGGAGCTGGTGTTTTGTACCTGCTCGTTATTATTTCTTCCCACACGCTCGGGGAAGATTACAGGTTTCTCATGCAAACAAGACGACGACACGAAACAGACAGACACACAAAAGCAGAGTGTGAGGGTAATGGGTCGCCGCATAACGAAGCACAACCTTGAGTGCTCAGCCACGCGGAGACAGAAACACATCATCGAGTTTAACGTCTAATTTGTGCCTTTTCTCGCTCCCACACTGTCAGGCAGTCGGAACAGGTGTGCAGACGCAGGTGTGCTTCTGTCCCTGCTTCACCTCTGCAAACACTGAATCTTAAACTTCACCACCTCTTCCTTCTCCTAAAATATGATAATCCAGGTTTAATAATTACTGTGCTCCTGCTGTGATGGGCTGGTTTTGTCCTTAAAGGTGAATGAAGCACGCCTCTTTCTTCCTTCCTTCCTTCCTTCGCAGCAGAGCATGTCGCTCGACTCCTCGAAAAATTCTCAACCTCTTTACCTTCAAACTTTACGAGCTCAGACCGGTCTACGACAAAGTTCAGGAGCACAAGGACAATTCAGAGAGGAGAGCAGGGAGAGGTCCAAGAGGAGGCAAGTGTGTGAGCATGTGTGAGTGTCTGAAAAGCCAAGGGACGGAGTAAACGCAACTTAAGTAATTGCTAGCTAGTTTTTAAAAAAAGAAACAACTTAAAATGCATTTCAAACATGATGTGTAAATGTTCAGATATAGTTCAAATTTTACAGTTTTATCGGTGCTGGCCTTTTTTCGAGTCTCCTGCAAAGGGGTCTGCCCAAAGAAAGGCAGTCATAGAGCTTTGCTTGACCATGTCCTCCATTTTTGTAGTTTACTGAGGTTAAAAGCACATGGATTAACCAGGCTACGATGACAGCACCCTCTGCTGGAGCGACCTGACGCACTGGTATGCTGTATTATTATTCAGGCAAAAACATAAAGGATCAGTATTGAGTGCGTTTCGGCAGTGTCGCAAATAGGTTGCCATTCTAATCAATGCGCCATCGCACACAGGACGCGTAACGGCTCCTTAGCACCTCCATATCAGAAGCCTATCAAGCGCAGCTCTGTTAAAGATACACGCCTAGTCCACTTTTGCTGCTCTACGCCTTCAACACGCGTCAATCTACACAGAGAAGATCGTTCTAGACAGGATGTCAAGCACGAAACATGGCATGTCATCCGGTAAATATCAAACACTGACAGAGCGCACTCAATACGGATCCTGTATATTTTCAGCTTGAAAAGACTGAGTGACATGTTGGATCTGGAGCCGGTGGAAAAAACGTAGCATAAGTGGCAGAAGAGCTCAACTCCTTTAGGTTTTAATTAAAGTGTACTACAAGTGAAAAACTACCATTCAAAAATCATATTAACATCTTATTTTGGTGCTGCTGTTACATGTGAGAGTTTCGCTTATGTGGTTTCCTGTACTTCTCCAGAACTGCAGTTTTAAGCTCTTCTGCATCAGCTGGATTTCTCAGGACCGGAGGTTACCGCTCGAGTTGGAATAATTCACAATCTGTTAAAATCTCTTTTATCAAAGTTTCACACAGCAGCTCTTCTTTTGTGGAGCTGAGGCTCACTCGGTGACGCGCTTCAAAATCACTCCATACAACACCAACCCCAAAGGCGGCCTTTCACTGCACTGATCACAGCTATTCAAATACGGTCTTCCTGCTGCTGGTCTGGTTTTCCCTCGAAGGGCGAAGAGGATGTTTGTATTCTTGTGCCACCTCTGTCCGCAGCCAAAACCCAGAGAAAAACCCCAGACTCATTTTGCCTAAAGAGATTTCCTCAATGGGCTTGTCCATGTGTGGGTATTTGTTTTCCCATCCATGCTGCCACACTTTGCTCAGTGTTAGCCTGTTATGTGAGCGCGTGCATGCTTGTATCGGAGACAAGGCAATCCATCTCCGAAGGTCCCATCTGCGAGCAACAGCCTTGTTTACTTATCCCTCGACCAGCAGCAGTCTGTCCGCAGGTAAACGAGCAGCCGGGATGAGCGGGGAGGAGAGGGGGAGGAGGAGGGGAGGAAGGTGGAAGAGGGGTCGGCTTCTGTCTCCATTCAGGGGAATAAATCACTCTTTACAGCGACACCAAACTTCCACACCTCCCACACCCCTCACACGCTGTCTACTCCCCGCTCTGAGCTCATCTTTCCCTCCTCTTCATTTTCCCGTATCCTTCACCGACTCCTCACTCTGATTTAATTTACTCGTCCTTCCAAAGTGATATCATCCTCTCCTTTCCTCATTCCCTCACCTAGCCCCCCATTCCTCACTCCATTTCTCCTCACACTTCCTACACCTCTCCTGTCTCCTCGTTTTTCCAAAGCCATCTTTCCTCCTCCCTCAGACTCCTTCCCTTCTCTCTATCCGTCCTCTCCAGTTGTCTCTTTCATCTGGCTGAAGCATCTTTCAAAGACGAGCCCTCTCCTTCCCTCAATCTGCTCCGTTTCCTCCTTGGCCCCGACTCTCATCGCACATCATCGTCACATTTTCTCCGCCGCGTTCTTCCTCCTCTCCGTCTCCATCGGCGGGCAGGGAACAGCCGGCGTGGAGCTGATGAGGTGAAGTATCGCCTCGTGATGAATATTCATGCCGTCCCGCCAGCCGCTGTCCCTGCTCGCCGCGATGCCGAGGCCTCCAGCCCGCAGATGCCACTGTCTATTTGTCACGGAGCGAGTCGAGACCCACAGGAAGGTTTCTGGTGCCAAGGCCGAGGAGGGAGCGACTGAGTGAGAGCGAGAGAGCCCCCTCCCCTCTTTTGTGTGAAGCAAGCTGGTCCATCTGAGCCACATCAAACAAGTGCTCAGCTCTGAGGCAGTGACGGCTCTGTCCTCGTCTGTTTTCTCTGCTGCCCGTCACAGATATGAGACACTCAAGGACCAGACAGAGAATTGCCAAAACATGTCTGGCGTGGAGCTTTTTCTTTCAACGAGCTGGGTCCTTTTTATAGTTTTTGTCACCAGTCAGCCTTGATAAATGTGCCACTAAATGTCTTCTCCTGAGCTGCAGTCCAACAGCAGAGGAACCAGAACAGAGAAGGTACCAAAGAAGTCTTAAAAAAGGGAGATGATCTGACGCGCAGATCTGTGGCTGTCCTCAAGACGAGTTACTCCTTCTGACAAAATTCAGAGGGAAAAAAAACAGTCACAAGCAAAACTGTTTGGAGGTAGTAGAGGACTTTTTCAAGGCTGGAGTGAAATCACAGAAAAACGGTCAAAAAGTTGTAGAAATGCACTTGAAACAACAAATGACAGAGAATTTCACACAAAACATCGGATTGTGTAGTGATCCAGACTCCACAAGCATTTACAATCAACATGACAACTTTAAAAGTCCTGAAAGGAAAGTGATCGCAAGAAGTATAACAGCTTGAAAATGTAGGTTTCTCTCTCATCAAAGGTGAGGGAAGCTTATTAAAGACGTACCAACCGCAGATGAAGCATAAAATGATAAAAACAACAGCATTTGAAGGTCCAGAACTACAGGAATTCACATCTCTGTTTCATACAAAACAATCATTATAATCATGGCTATCCCAAATAGCATCAGTATCTCTGTGTGTCTGAAAAGCAGAGGGACAGAATGAAACGTACGCAACAGGATAAAAAAATGAGAGATGTTGTTCCAAATCATTATACAATGCTACCCTTTAAACTGTAGTCAGTTATTGTTTAATTCATGTAAATTTTGGTGAGGGAGGGCATTCAGGTGCAATGATGAAAAACAGCGAACTCAGTTAATTTTTGAACCGTAAACTGCAACTAGTCTACAGTGAAATCGAGGTTTAGCTACAAACAGTTGCTCCAGTTAAGGCTGAGCGATATCCTCAAATCAATATCATGATATATTGATCAGTTCACCTCGATAACGATAAATGGATGATAACTACTGCACAAGCTGCTCACCCCCTCCCACATTAACTTCGTCTACTTCAGCCGCTACAACTCTTGAGCCGTCCTCCATCTCCTCTCCTGTCTTTCCCTCTTGTTGAGTCACGTCTCCGACAAGGACAACGTCTCAAAGGGACATGAGACCATAGCCTACCTACACGCATCCAAAACCAACTTTTTTTTTTTATTTATTTGACACTGAATATACAGATATAGGCAAAATGACGTTGGTTATTGTCATAAATTTCGGTATCTGTAAAAAAACCCAGCCCTACCTAAGAATCTGTTATTCTGTTATTCTGGTTTAACTTCATTTCTGTCTGATCCTTTACAGATCTTTTATTTGTTTTTTGGACAGGAGAGACATCTTCATTTCCCTCCAACAGCGGTAAAAACTGTAAACACTTGGACAACTCCGACTGTACGGATAATTTTCTCTGTAGACGCCCAGATTGGTGCAGAACAGAAGCACTGCTGATGCATGCAAAGAGAGCCGGGTCAGAGCGGGAAGGGGGAAGCAGAGGGCTGACATGATTGAGGCTCCTGCCCAATTAACTGAAGATCACTTAAACGCTTGGCGAGCTGAAGAGGTCATTATCCTGAAGAGCTCTGAAGAAGCCCATTAGAGCTTTCCAAAGCTGGGCCCATGACTCCTCCACTTTAACTCCCTGCTCCTCCAATAAAAAGACACATGGCTAGATCGTTCGTTAAACGTTTGAGCTTCATCGAGCCTGAGGAACACGTGCAGCCGTTCACGTATGCGGATCTGTGAGCTCATCGTGCATTCAGTAGCCTCTGCGCTACACAAAGCCATGGAGAAACTTTTTATCCTCCAACACTGAGCAAAGCCAAAAGAAAAATACTAAAGAACAAATCAATGTTTTCCACAGTCTGAGCACTGCACACAAAACAAACCCCTGAAATATCGACGTCTGCGTTAGCCCTGAAAAAGAGACAGTAAACTAAAGAACGTACAAATGTTTCCCTGAGCAGCCACAGAAACACCAAGTGCAACATCAATACGCAGCTGTAAAGAGGCTGTGGTATATAAAAGGCTTTTTCAGCCGGGTGCGTGGGAATCATTCATTCATTCATGCGCAGCAGCTCGACATAATCACGCTCCTCTGACCATGACCATCACAGCAGCTACTCCGATGATAGCCCTGCCGACGCACCAGCAGCATGTTTAACATGAGGCGGCCCGCTTCAGCCTCACTCCGAAATCAATCCACCAACATGTGAATAACATATCAAATTACACGCCAAGGTTTTTAACTGGACACTGCCAAATGAGAGCGGTTTACAGAGCAAAGAGAAAATATCAGAAGTGTAAAAACTAGACCTTGATAAGAATGTTTGGGATGAAAAATAGAAGAGTGCTGTGATTTTACAGCGCTCTTGTGCATTATTTCTCACATTCAATAGATTTTTCAGTCAAAGAAACAGAAGAGAGGAGGACTTACTGTGTTTTTAATGTGAAAGACCCACAACTTTGATTGAAGTCATGCATGTTGCAGGGCAACGATAAAAGATTAAACTGAAGCCTCAGGAATACAGTGAACTGATACTTTAGGGCCTGTGTCTACTGATGGCTTTTTCTTTGCACTAATTCAGTTTGATGGCCCCTCTCAGCAGCATTTACAGCTGTTTGGTTACAATAAAGTTGTCAACAGCACGCGATAGGGCTGGTCGAAATGGCCTCAAATCAATATCACGATTTATTGATCAGTTCACCTCAATAAACATAAATGCTCACCCCCTCCCACATTAACTTTGTCTACTTCAGCCGCCGCTGCAGCTGCTACAATTTTTGAACCGTCCTCCATCTCCTCACCTGTCTTTCCCTCTTTGTAACAGACCGGATCCAAAACCAACCTATATTTATTTATTTTTGACACCGATTATATTGACATGGGCAAAATATCGTCAGTTATTGTCATAAATTTTGGTCTGTGTAAATTTCCTGTTTATCGCCCAACCCTAGAACTTGGCCTCCTCTGGTAAAATACTCTGTATGTTTGTAGGCTATGTGCTGTAATTCAAGTCTATTTTGCTAGACATTTTTTTTTAAAAAGCGGCAAGTCACATCTGGACAGAAGTGGCTACTATTGACCCAAAATAAAGACAAAATTAAGACAAGTTCTGGCATACATTTTACTAATATTCCTAAAGCTAACTCTTTTCAACTAAGAGCAAAAGAATTAACCCCAGGGAGGCTGAATGCTAATAACATTGAACTACTTTGGTTTAGCAGAAAGAATAGCTGCATATGCATAAATACTGAGTGGACACAGGCCCTTACACACAATCAGCACAGGTTGAATGTAAAACAGGACCAAATACCGTATTTAGACACAATTTTGCAGAATCTGTAATCCCTGTATTTTGCTACTTTTCTCTACTTTATGTTTTAGACACAAAGTAGTTTCATACTCTTTAATTTGATCATTTTTACATAAATATTACAACAACAAAAAAGAACATAAAAAGGTATGATATCAACCTGTCAGAGCATTGAAAACTACACACTGTGCCTTTAATGGATATTAAAAATGTAGACTCAATTTCTTCCTTCTGCGAGTAAAAATGTCAAGGACAGTGTTGTTTTTTTTAAACTGACAGTTTTCAGACAAAATTGACTTTTAAAGAAGCAGTCTGGGACTTTTGGAAGCCTGCATGGATTTGAATAACATTTCTGAGATTCCAAATGACGAATTCGGAAAATATTGGGACACATTAATCAATGAAGGCACTCATTAGTTCAAGCACGAATATTGATCGCTTCATCACCTTTTAGAAAGCGTTTTTTCTTTAAATAATCAGGTACAGTTTGCTCATAATGCTCCTTAACTGGGGCGGCAATAAATCACAATTTCATTATTCGTGATAAATGAGTTTTTTCAGAGAACGGCGTCTGAATTAATTGCAATAAATGGGGAAAATTACTGTATGTAAATATGCTGTGCTTTCCCGCTAAACATGATGTTGCCTGTTGCATGTGTTCAACAGTGCTTTTACACTATTTTGATCCAGTACTACGAATCTCAAGCTACATTCAGATGAACTAGTGTCAAACCAAACCAAAAGCAGAGTCAAGGAGTCCTGAAGAGCTGTCGAGGGGAAAACCGCGCTGAAATAAACGATACAGACATAACTGTGTCGCTCTCATGATGTTTGGCACTTGTTGCTTGAAATTATGTCAAACTGTGATGCGCAATAGTCAAAATTCATGATACATCAGTGACTCATAGATCACAGACCCGATAAGCTGGCTGTATCTGAGAATAGACAGATCGCTAACGAGCAGGGGCGTGTGCAGATCTTTCTGACTGTGGGGGCCCAACATCAGCAGTGGTATGAAGTATGAGGATCTTGCCCTCGACAAGTATGAGAAAAACTCAAACTAACACTAGAAATATAAAAAATTAAGTATTTTCAAATAAAAACTAATAATCCAAAAGGCCCACACAGTCAGTCCAGGTTCATAGACTCAAAAGTTTGTAGTGAAAGAGTCACCATTTTTGTCATAAAACAATAATATGAATAACGAGGACTCGACTCCTCTCAGATGACTCGAGACTTGACTCAGACTCAAAATTACGGGACTCATCTGCAACATCGGGCTACATCCAATATAGACCTTTATATTTCCTCAAATAACTGCAGAGCGGAGCAACTGAGGTCGCCAGTACTTGACACGGAGACTGAGGACCCGAGACTTGACACAAGGTTACGGGACCCATCTGCAACACTGGGCTACATTCAAGATCAACTTTCGTATTTCCTCAAATAACTGCAGAGAAGAGCAACTGAGGTCGCCAGTGAAATTACTCAAAGACAGGATAAAAGTGAACTCGTCGTGTGATGAAACTGGACAAAATAATCAATTTTCTTGAAAAAGATGAAGAGAGTATCATAATAATCCAAAAATGACCCTGTATTTGCTCTAACGCGAGCTCATTTATCGGGCTCTGGAGCTTTTGTGCCGCCTAATTCACTTGTTCCTCTCCTGCCATGTGCGCGGTATTGTTAGTATTCACTGCATTGGTGATGACAAAAGGTCCCTTTCTGAAAAATGATTCCTTATTATTACTAATGAACTAATCGTTTGAAATGAGCGAACATAATGGTGATGAGCAACAGGACTTTATAGTTTGCCCACCTTTTTATTCCTGACCACACTCGCTGCTCGGCCCGGGTAGAGACATGGCCATATGACCTAATTATCTCTCATTAGTGGCCTCAGTAATTACAGGCCCTTTTACAGCTCCATCTCCTCTTGCCTCACATTAGGAAGGGATTTCAATTAAGGCCTGCCTCCCAGCTCTGCCTGCCTGGCTTTCACAGCTACACCTCGCTGTCACCTGTGTAGCCGAGCATAGCCAAGCGGAGAGCGAGCGAGGGAACGGGGAGCCAGGTACTCGAGGAAAAAGCTCCCACAAAAGGATGTCCGTGTGTCTGCGGTTGGGTTTTTATTCATTCCTGATCATTCCTGCACCAATGAGACATGACAAGAAGACGGCTTGGAGAGGTTTCGTCTTTCCGTGAGAGGAAAAAATAACGCTTTTCTCCGTCTTCTGCACACGGCACATCATGAAAAATACATTAGAAACAAACCATCAGCATGCATCTTCTTGTCATCTGTAAGAGGCGTGTGATATGCAGACTCTCGGGCATGTG